CCCCTATTTTGGGAAACCCCCAAATTCTTCCAAAGCCCTAAGCCGTGGAGGAATATGACCAACACCGCTCCCACCTGCCGAGCGAAGTCCTCTCAGTTCCCTATGGGTCGGAGATACAGGACCCACAGGTTCTTGAAACCTAGATTAGGGTTTAGGGTTTAGNNGGTTTAGGGATTAAGGTTTAAGGTATAGGGTTCCAACAGCAAGATGACATTATGCAAGTTGATGCTGAGACGATAGCCTGCTTGCGACGGTATATCTAGATAATGACAACATGCAACCCAAAGCTGAGTTATCTGGCCATTCACTAGGTTCATGAGTCTTACAGTAATTAGGTATCTTCTAGACTCAACGAAGCAGGTATGGTTGGAAGTTTGGATGGCTTAGAATGCAGTGTCTATCCGGCGGTAATTCAATTTAGGAATATAATAGATTCAGTGTTTACAACAACGCCGTGTAAGGTCCCAGCTGAAAGCCTTTCCCTCCTCAAACCCCAAGCCCCAGAATATCCTTCTGTGCAGCCCACGCCGTCCCTGTAAATTCTGAAGCTGATACCATAGGGTCTAGGGTTTAGGGTCTAAACACCTTAAAAGGGATTATATAGGGAACGACTGTACGGCCTATTAAGGGGGATACTAGGAGTTTAGGATATAGGTCATATGATCTTCTTAGTTTGGGCTGCCACCAGGATTCACTGAAGTCGAAGTTCAAGCTCTGGGGCGGCAAGGACAGGGTTTTAGGGTTTAGGGTTTAGGGTTTAGGGCCTTAAACCCTAAACCCTACACTCTAAACCCTCAACCGCGTCGAAGGGTGTAAGGCGGCTTCACCAGGTGTACTACTTGGCCCAAGTTTTTTGGGGGCTCGTGTGCTCCTACTGTAGAAGTTTGAAGAATTTACCAGTAGATCCCCTTACAACCCATACGCAGCTATGATATACTATTTCCTCGAAATCATTCTAATTCCCCAGGCTCCCAACTTTTTTAAAACGCTAACCTTAACACTGAAATTCAAACCGCCAAACCAAAAGCCCTAAACCCTAGTCATAACCTTGAACCGTAGAATCCGAAACGGTGGAAGGAGATTCCCAAGTATGGGCCTGACCGCCGCGGTGGCATTCCGGCGCTGGTGCGGGGGGGATGGGGTTTCCAGCGTGGTATGCAATGACCGATTTGCGTTGCTGTTAAGGAACTTAAACTAAGTTACCATACTATGGGTATGCAGTAAATAATGGGGCTTCCTCATAGTTACCATATCATGAGCATAAATATCTATGTATATATATATATATATTTATCGTGAATACTTGGGTTTCCTTATTCCTCATATTAATTTTAGCTTAAGTGCCTTTACAGCAACCCAGATCCTAGTTGAGGGTCTACCGGTAGAGCTAACGGTTTGGAGTCGACGCATTTGGGGGTAGGGGGTAAGGTTTCAGGAGTAGGTCTTAGGGTTTCGCAGGTAGTGTGAGCTTCTTCCAGAACAGCCGACCGAAAAAAAGTTGAAGTAGACCCAAAATGCCGCACCCTCGGCCTTTGTCGCGGTGGGTGTCATGGACTGGGGAATATAGCAGCTCATCAAGGGAAGGGGCGGTGTTTTGGGCCCGTCCTGTCAGCAGGGGGTCGCAGACTTTGAAGGAACCAGTTTCTTGTCACAGGGAAAAGTTCGTATTTCTTAAACTTGCTGGCTGTTTCTGGATGCTACAAGGGCATGTAGGAATGCAAAAGGACACAGGGATCTATTCTGACATGCCATTGTGGCACCCCGTGAGTTTCATGCTTACTTCACCCATGGCAAGCTCTTCTGGAACTACGGTCTTCCAGTATCATTTTTGGAGGTAATGCTCAATATATCAACTCTGCACAACTTCTTTTGTCTTAGGTAAAGGGAATCACGCAGCACAATTTCAAGCGATGCTTCGACGTCCGACACGCTAACAGTTGAGACAGGCCTTGGATACAACCTTCGGTGCTCTCACACTTGTTTAGTAAAGGTGCGTTGCAGCAGATGCGTTGCTTGCTCGGAAATTTCCTCCAAACGTGCCGGTGCCGGGAGGTGGTGATCAATCCCGCGGGAGAAGAAGTGAAGTACTTGGACGCGGAATCCAAGGGAGGTTCTGCTCTCAAAGAATGGTAGCTGACTCTAGCGGCCGCTGCCTTGCGGGGCCACAAAGTTTGTGGACCAAGATGACAGACCAAGATGATAATTAAGTGTATACAGTGCTGCTCCTACGCACATACCCGTTCTGGAATTGTATGGACGTTTCTCCTTGCTATGACATCAGCCAGTCTTACGACCCCTTCATTTTGGATCCAGTACAGATGTGTGGGAATACGTCCTTGAAGTCTTAACATCGTGTCTGCTGTTCCGGTTCAAATGCTGCTTTTGTGGGTGGAACTTCTTTGGTTCAGGATTGCTTGAGCCTACTCGACTGCTCTTGGTAACAAGAGATAGGTCGCAGGTAGTTGCATCTGAGGCCGGAGGACAGCCATCATCTGTTACTACCATCCGAGTCAGTAATTACTTCATCATCTTTAGGCCTCCGCAGCATGCAGCAGCCAATTACTTAGGTGCGGTATGCTTTTGGACAACAGCTCCGTTGACTGCAAACCCGCCCATGCAAAAAAGCCGGGGCAGGAGTGGAAAGCCTTGGGCTGAGTGCCATGACTGACAAGAGAAGAATCCCCCAACTGCAAGTGGCTTTTGGGATTATTATGGGTTATGTAGGGACTATATGGGGATAATGGAAAAGAAAGTGGAAGCTACTATTTAAGGTATAGGGTTTAGGTGTTCAGGTTTAGGGGAGGGTTCAAGGTCTAGGCCAGGGATTCTTTATTCCTTGGAGTTTGCTGCTGCTGGGGGTTTGGGGTGATGGGAGCTCTACCTTTGATTCCCGTTTCATGGCACATGAGGGCAACAAGAGATCAGATAGCGAGTGTGGATCGAGGATTGCAGGGTCGGATCCCTAAGGCTGTACCCCTAAAAGGTCGCCGCAACATAGTCTCGATACCGGCATCATGTGAGCCAATTCAGTCCTCCGGGGCTCCTTAAAGGGAGCTCTATCGGGTTTTGGGTTTAGGGTTTAGAGTTTAGGGCTTAGAGCTTTAGGGTACAACGATGAAAACCTTTACTGGATCCGGCTTGGGACCCATCATCGTCTCTCCAAAAGCCTTGTACGCAAAATGCTTCAAGGATCAAGGTGCAAGCTTTCAAATGATCAAGAAGAGTAAAAAGAGCAGTCATAGTAATAACAGCAGTAGTAATGGTAGTAATAGTAATAATAGTAAACATGATGCAGCGCATGCAATCCCACTGAAGCTAATTTTCCCCAAAATCCAAAGCCCCTTTCCCGAAGCTCTCGAAAAGATTATGTTTCCCGAAGCCAGGAGGCCTGCATGTCGGAAGTGGACCTAGCATTGCTGCTGCCTGGCCTGGTGTTGGTTGGTTTAGGGTTTAGGGTTTAGGGTTATATTGGGGTTATATTGGGATAATGGAAAAGAAAATGGAAACTACTACTTAGGGTTTAGGGTTTAGGGTTTAGGATGTGCGGATATAAGATTCAGGGTTTAGGCTTTAAGGTTTAGCGGCTTCCTTTCGCAAAATGAACCTTACGTCGTACTCCTTCACGAAGGGTTTTGGCTCAGGGCTTAGGGTTTCAGGCACCAGGTCTAGGCCGTATCCACTAAACCCAACCCTAAACCCTAAACCCAGAGCACAGCAAGCTAAGAACCGTTGACACCCCCGAGCAGGCCCCCATATAGAACCGCGAAATAGCAAGATCATGGAACTGAGCCCCCATGAACCCTAAACCCTAAATCCATGATTGTGAGAAGCCCTAAGCCCCAAATAAGAACCAAAGCCTAAACCCTAAACCCTTAACCCTGAACCCTGAATAATAAAGCGCCCTAGCGCTTCCGAGGATGGGACATATGGAAACGACTGATAGGGGCAAATGCCAAACCTGACAGCTGCCCAAAGATTCGGATCCTGAAGTCTAGAGTTTTTAGGGTTCAGGGTTTAGGGTTCAGGGTTTAGGGCTTAGGATGGCTGTAGTCATGACAGCAACAATATCAACAAACTAGAAGTCATGATGCCGCAAAATCTAGACCCTCAAGCCCCTCAATCCTATACACTCTTTTAACCCCCAAGCCCCACGCCAAAGAAGGCCCAGCCCTGGATGCCTGGAACCCGAATCCCACTAGCTAACCCGGGAAACCTACTAAACTCAGAGCGGGTTGCCATGAATTAGGGTAGGGGTTCCCTTTTGGCAGTACCTAGAACAAGGACCGTAGAATATTAGAGTATGACTCCCATATCTTCCCCGAAACTTGGATTTCGAGAGAGGCGCCAAGCAAATGCGTTTTTCTCCACAGGTCTAATGTGGAGTTCCATCTTGATCCAAAGACTAACACACACAGGAGAACGACAGCAGCAGCAGCAGCAGCAGCAACAACAACAAGACTCACGAAAGAAGCACAGGGGCAGAAGTGATGATATTTGAAAACCCTGCCAGTGCCAACCTGCATGGCATGCATACAATTATATGTAAATATAGAGATGTGGACCTACAAATATGTGCATGTATATACATCTGCAGTGATGGCAAATTACATGTATTCCATATCCTAAATCCTAAGCCCCAAGCCCTGAAACTTAAACCAAATCCTTCAAATCAGGCTCTAAACTCTAAATCCTAAAGCCTCGAATCCTTGACCCTAAGCTCGGAACCCTAAACCCTAACCCCTAAAACCCTAACCCC